CATCGTGGGGCCTGAGACAAGGTGACCCGCTGTCACCATATCTATTCCTTCTTTGTGCTGAAGGATTCTCGGCATTATTGAAGAAAGCTGAAAGGGAGGGGGAACTCAATGGGATCCAGATAAGAAGAAAAGCACCAAAAGTGTCCCATCTTTTATTTGCAGATGATAGCGTGGTGTTTGGGAGGGCTACTCTTAAGGAATGTGATATTCTCAGGGACCTCTTACGCTCTTATGAGAAGGAATCAGGCCAAATGATCAACTATAGTAAGTCTGACATCTCCTTTAGCAAAAATGTGAGATGTAGCAGACGTTTGGAAATTTGTGGCACGTTAAGAATCAAGGAAGTGGACAAACATCCTAAGTACCTGGGTCTGCCCACCATCATTGGAAGGTCTAAGAAGGTTATTTTTGAAGAGTTAAAGGAGAGGGTTCGTAAGAAACTAAAAGATTGGAAGAGCAGAACTTTGTCTCAAGCGGGAAAGGAAATCTTGATAAAGGCTGTTGCACAGGCTCAACTCATGTACCCTATGAATGTGTTCCTAATCCCTGAGGGCACTATCAAGGAGATCCAGAGCATGATATCTTCATTCTGGTGGGGACAGAAGGGCAAGGAAACAAAAATTCATTGGCTAAATTGGGATGAACTTTGTGATGACAAGGAAGAAGGTGGAATGGGGTTCAGGGACCTAAGAGCTTTCAATCTTGCGATGCTTGGAAAACAGGTCTGGAGAATTATGGAGAGGCCTCATTCTTTAATGGCCAGAATCCTGAAGGCCAAGTACTTCCCTAAAACAGACGTGTTGAATGCCAAGATGGGGTATAGGCCCAGCTATATTTGGAAGAGTATTTTTACTGCTAAGGAAAAAATTGAGCATGGATTCAGGTGGAGGGTGGGAAATGGGGAGAGTATTCGAATCTGGGAAGACGAATGGATCCCTGGAAAAAGCTTCTACTTTGCTGATCCTGTCCAGGGTGCTATGAACAGTAGTGAGCTTGTGAGCTCTCTCATTGACCATGAGAGTAGTGGATGGGACCAGGCTAGAATGCAGGAGAGGTTATCTAGTAGTGATTGTGCCCTTGTGACCAGAATCCCAATTGGATTTCCGCTACAGAAAGATAAAAGGGTATGGAAGGATTCGGAAGATGGGGTGTACTCTGTTCGAACAGCCTATAGCAGAATTCGGGAACAACGGCGTGAACTTCAGACTCGACAATACATGCCATCAAATGGGGATGTGGACTTCTGGAAGCAACTCTGGAAAACAGATGTTCCTCCCAAGGTACGTGTTTTTCTATGGAAAGTGGGGAGAGAAATCTTACCTGTGGGTAGTCATATCGCATAATGGATCGAGGACGCATGCTTGGATTGCCCCTTCTGTGGATTGCCGGAGACCCAGATTCATGCCCTTCGTGAGTGCAGCTGGATTAGAAACAGATGGAGTCAATGGGAAGGCAAAGATCTGTACGAGATCGGAGAAGGCAAAACTAGCTTTGAATGGCTAAAAGAGGTTTGGATGAGTTGTGATAAAGGTAAAATTCAACGTTTTAGTGATGTGATGTGGTACCTTTGGAAGGAAAGGTGTAATCACCTCAATAACAACCCGAAGCTCGACGAAGAAGAGATTATCCCCCGGGCGGTGAACTGGCTTAACTCCTACTTGGAGGCTCAGAGATCCATGGACCAACAACCTCAAATCGATATCATCGCCGCCGATCCTAGGAGATGGGTGCAGCCTCCGGAAGGGGTTTTCAAGCTTAACTCAGACGCGGGTATTCTGCATCAAGGGGGAATCGGATTGGGTTGTATTTTTCGGGACTGGAGGGGGGTTTTCAAGGGGGCGACGGGAATGAAGGAGAAGGGCGCATGCAGACCCATCGAAGCGGAGGCGAGGGCCATCTTGTTGGGTCTCCGCGAAGCTAATCGGTTGGGGCTGAGTCCTCTTATTGTGGAATCAGACTGCCAGGTGCTAATTCGTAAGCTGAGGAAGAAGGAGGAAGATCGAACTGAAGTGGGGAGTTGGTGTACTGAGATTTGGAGTTTGGCGGAGGTTAATGCAAGTCTATCTGGGATTCAGGTTGAATGGAACTTTACTCCTCGAAGAAACAATGGCGCTGCTCATTGGTTGGCTCACTCTTTGGGAGTTTGGGGCCGTCAATTTGTTTGGGTGGATGATCTACCGCTGTCTTTGCTCTGTGTCTTGGAGGCCGACATGGGCCGGGTTTGTTCGGACCCTATGTAAACTTTCTCTCTTAATATAATTCAGGTTCCCGTAAAAAAAAAAAAATAAAAAAAAAATGAAAGAAGCAGAAGTCACCCTACCATATAGAAAATGGGGTGGCAAGAAACTCTTACCTCACACTACAATCACTAGCCCTCTTTGATTAAGTTTTGGCATTGTCGAGTAGTGCCATAGTGGAAACTAGATCATGATATATTAGCACAAGTTATTCAAAGTTTAAGTACTCGATGAGTTCAAACACAAATGGCTTGAATTAAGCGGGAGATAATCATTTGTTAATTGAATTTTGTTTGAATAAGACATTTGTGAAATCATCTCAACCGACTTTACATGGAGAACTTGGTCCCTGGTGAAGATTTTATTGGCCAAGTGGGCCAATAATGAAGACTCGTAGCAAACACGACAGAGATTGAATTGGGTGGGAGAATATCATTAATTTAAGCTCCATAGATTAGGGTCGTGATTGTACAATTGGTATCGATCATATATATAGTTAAGAATGGTTTGATTTGGGTCATGATGTACATTACTATATTATGGTATATGTTTTGTTCTCTTAATATGGTTTGGTCGAGGTACGGAGGTAGGGAATTTATCACACAAGATTGTGAACCCAACTCAGTTTTTAATATGTTTTAGCAACCATTCGACTACTCTCCCCCACTCCCCAACAGGTTTCAAATTTCAAAATCCTAATTTCACGAATCTTGTCACATCCTTCATATGGAGATCGTACTTCTCTATTGACTAGAGACGTTCATGTCTCCAAATGACATTATGTTAATGTTTCTGACGTTACCGTAGAAGTTGGGTTGCTTTGAGCCGTTGTTATTTGCTTGAATCCAGAGTATTATTGTTATGCATTCAAGCTATAATTTAGATTTCAAGGCACATCTTTTCCTCGGTTATTAATTTGATTTATTGTTTGATCGACCAGACAAATTGTTGATTTTTTACTTAACATGGTATGTCGATTTCGAACATACCGATATAATATTAGATTTCGTCTCTAATTTGTATTCCAATCACTCTAATATTAGCCATTTGGATATGCTAGGAAGGTTGTTTTATTTTCTTCATCGTATCCTACTTTGTCAAAAGGTTGGGAACATTTGCTCCCCACCTCCACACACCAACGGTTCATAAATCGGGGAATATAGCACGTGCCTTTTCTTCTGATTAATCTTTCCCATTTCCTCCTAATTTTGATTAATCCACTTACGATCGTTGTCATGACTCCTAATTATAACCACAGTGGTCCACTCTCCACAACAACTATCGTTTTCCAAATAAGTGCAATTTGTTTTCTTTTCTCTCCTACTCCATCTCTAAAACCTATCATTTTTTTCTGTTAATATGCCACTCGATGATCAAATCCAATCGAATCGCCCCCACTTTGACAAACAAAACCAGACAACACCGACTAAACACCAAAGATCAACTTCAGAATATAATTAATATTTATGTTGTTATCCCAAAGGAGGGAGCTATGAGTCTTCGAGATATAATCGCTCGAAATATTTCTTATTACTTCTTCTTGTGTGTATGGAAGTTCTTTCTCAGTCGCAAGAATAATCGATATCGATTAAACAAAAATTTACTTAGACATAATTACGGTCTTGGTATGGAGGAAGATGTTAAATTTCGACCATGGTTTCACATCCGTGTAGGTAATTGCCTTGGTACAAGTTTTTGTGGGGGGTAAGTATATATATGGTATTCCAAAGCATTGGTTTTTTACTTGGCCGATTATTCTATGAGAGAATATATACTTAAGATATGCTTTATTGTTTAGGGGAAACTATATAATCTTTGTGTATTTTGTGTGTGTTTAGCGAAAACTATATAATCTTTGTGTATTCTATTTGGTAGGGTGAATGAGTCACGAGATCACTTGTTCCTCTTATGCTCTTACTCGTCTAGCCCAACAAAGACCATCATCCAGCATTTTGTTATAAGTTGGCTAAAGCAGAATCGAAAAGGCGCTTAATACAAAACAAATTATTTTATTGAAAACATTAAATATCGATACATATGATTAACCGTAATACAATCGAACCATAACCGGGACAATGAGAGTAATAACAAGTCACTCCAATCCTCACCCCTCACTTCCCACTCCCCACTACTCAAGTAAACATTCGCTCATCGATGTCGTAGCACATATGACAGAGCCAAAATTTCAATACCTGGGCCATTTTCTTCATTAATTAATTCCAACGTTTAGGAAGCTAGCTACAAAACCCCAGAGATTGTGCAGATTCATATCAGAAACGGCGCACCAAAACAACTGCTACACTACAAAACTCGGCCGCACTCCTACTTTAGCTTGCCTGCCTCTGTACTCTGTAGCCGACTCGTAGCCCCAAAAAACCCCAATCCCCACTTCCCACATAATCATCCATTAATCTAAAATCTCTGCTCCAAACATTGAAAATCCAATCCAAACTCGACCCAACCAACCGCCAAAAACGAAGAAAAATCAACAACAGCAAAGAACCCAATAAAGCTGCAATTCCTTCCACCTCTGTTCCCTCTGCTCATAAAACCCGCAGGAATTCGCTTCAGAATCCTCTCCTCTCTCTCTTCATCGCCCTCTCCATAAAATCCCACTCCCCCTTCTTCCCCATTTCACATACCCATTCCCCCACACACTTGCTCTGTTTCCTCTTCCTCTGTTTCTTCCCCTTTTCCACCATTACCGAACCTCTAGAAGAAAAAAGGATTCAACTTTCTTCAATCATGACTTCGGTGGCCGCCATGGGCGAGACTACAGCGACGACGGCGAAGCGGGGGATGAAACCCTTCATCAACGGCGTCCCGATCACCGCCACCACCGGCGGAGGTGCTTCCGCGCACAACCACCTGCCTCCGCCGGAGCAAGAGCACCTCCCCTGCCCGCGCTGCGACTCCACCAACACCAAGTTCTGCTACTACAACAACTACAACTTCTCCCAGCCCCGCCACTTCTGCAAGTCCTGCCGCCGCTACTGGACCCAGGGCGGCACCCTCCGCGACATCCCCGTCGGCGGCGGGACCCGCAAGAGCGCCAAGCGGTGCCGCACCTCCTTCCACACCACCACCGCCGCCTCCTCCGCCGCTACCTCTTCCGCCGTCACCAGTCCGGCGAGATCAGCCGGCGTCGAGGGGATCGCTTCGTCGCAGTTGATGCAGGGGAGGAACGGAGCGACGGCGCTGCATTACGGCGGCGGAGATCAGGCGGGGAAGGCGAATTTCTTCTGGGCTATTGGAGGTCCGTTGGGCCTTGGGCTTGACGGGAAGGGGAATGGGCCTGGATCTCTCTGTGGGAGCTTTACTTCCCTGCTGAGCAATCCTGGGCCTGGGCTTGGAAGTGGTGGGTTCGTGCAGGGGTTTGAAGATGTGGGCTTTGGACTCGGGAGAGGGATCTGGCCTCTTCACGGCATGGAGGAAGGCGGCGGTGCTGGCGGTGGTGGTGGTGGTGCTTTTGGCGGTGGCAACAACGCCGGCGGTGGTTCCGTGGGGATGGGTGGCATTACCGGCGGCAATCCGTGGCAGTTCGAGAGCGGGGAGAGTGGGTTTCTTGTGGCCGGCGGTGGGGGTAATGATTGCCTTTCTTGGCCTGATTTGTCAATTTCAACTCTTGGAAATGGACTCAAATGAGTGGTTGTTGGGATGTGGGTGTCTTTTTGTAATTTGTTCGTAGAAGGGTGGGTTTAGTAGTTTTTAGTTAGTGGTAGTGGTATATCAGCTAATATGAAACCAGAGTTAAGAAAATAGTGGCTCTTGTATTTTTGGTGTTAGGCTTGAATGTTTGTGTTAATGACTTCAGTTTTACTAGTTCAATATGTAACCAAGAACTACTCCAATTCCTAATTGTTCGAGCTCGCATATTGCATTGTGCAAATTCCATTGAGCATCCTATAGCAGAGGTTTGCCCAATTACTCTAAATATATGCATTTTCTTGTGATCGAAAGAACAATTCATAGCGACTCCTTTGCTCATGTGGTTAGCAGAATTGGATCTCCAACCCTTCTACATATGGGCTACCAAATGAATGAAATGCGTGCTAACATTTTTGTTTTTTCTACAACTACGCATTTCACATTCTCTTTTGAGCATCTAAGGACTATTTTGTAGGGTTTGGAAACGGTGTGGTCTGGTCTGGTCCACACTAGATCATATTTATTGTCTATGGTACAGATCGAGAGGTTGAAGTATAGACCATAGACCAGACCACAGACTATAAGGTGCGGTCCAGACCACGCCTATGCGGTCTGGTCTGATCCAGATTCCAGATAGACGACACTCAATGAAAAAATGAACAATTTGTTTAGTCCACACAAAAAAATTGAACCAATAACCAAGAAAAATAATTGTTTTAACATTAATTCTAACATGCATGAATAATTCTGATACCCTAAATCTTAGTACATAACAAAGGTACAAAGTAAAAACATCTCAGCTTGCACCATAACATCATAAACATTAACATGATGTCATATGGAGACATGCTTATCTCTACTCTATGGTGAAATGTGGTTGTGAATGAAGGAGGGACGAGATTCTCAAAATTAAGGTTGAGACTTGAGTGTCTTTGTGGTAGTTGGGAGAGCGGTCGAATGGGCTATTAACACGTATTGACAAGTCGGTTGCGGTCCACTGTTTGGTCCGGTAAACCGCGGTCTAGACCAAACCAGACCAAGAGATGAAAACATCAGATAATACAGACCATGGACCAGGCCAGACCATACTTAACGGTCTATGGTCCGGACCAAACTATGCAGTTCGATTTGGACAATGGTTTTTCTAACGATCTGGTCTATTTTCCCAACCCTACTATATTTTGTGATTGAAAGAACGATCAATAGTGACTCCTATGCTCATGTGGTTTGCAGAATGAATCTACAACCCTTCTTTCAATATGTAACCAAGCCCTATTCCAATCCCTAATAATTTGACCTGGCATTTTGCGAATGTGCAAGTTCCATAGAATATCCTCAAATAGAGGCTCGATCAACGATTCGAAAGATATGCATTTCTTGGGATGAAAAGAAAGATCGATAGTATATATAATATTCATTATTTGTTCCCCTTTTTTATTTTAATTTTTTTACATGTATCTTTTAATGGCTTTTCAAATGTGTTACATTGAATTAAACATAAAATTTTGCTTGATTTTTTCGTAATAATATTTCCCGATGTTAATTTAATCTTCACATGAAATGGATATCTTACTTGGTATATACAATTCTCATGAGCATGAATGTTAAACGTTTTGTTGAGAAATAAATACTTATAATTTCATAAACTTACATTAAAAGACCACACATTTGTTCTTATAAATGAATTGGCGAAAACATAAGGAACTTAAAACAACTAAATCATAACTGTAGATTAATTGATTCATAAGACAATACTAGCTAGGTAACAATAAACATGAATTGATAAACAGTTGATAAATGCTTATCAGTTATAATCCAACCAAATTAAACCACTCTAGTTCAGAAACACCAACCTTAATTTCCTAACAAATTGGAAGGAACAAAACCTGTTTTTAGTTCACAGTAGAAATTAAACGTACGTAACTTCCGCAATGGGACCAGGACAACGGTTCTTCTTCCCACTTAAAAGTTTGTAATCCTTTCAAACAATTTTCTTCTGCCCTCCTCTTATATAAAAGCCACCCCCCATAATTGAGATTCATTCCACCAAAATTCCCTCTTTCAGTTTCTTGAAATTCAGCGATTTGGGTTCACCATGACTTCCTTAATGAATCCACTCCTTATCTCCACCACGAGTTTTTTCCTCTTCTTTACCCATTTCCAGCATTTTGCAGGTAAAAAAAAAAGAAATTCCATCACTCTCTTCTTCTTTCCCACCTTTGGCTAGCGTGTTGACCGAAGTTAGGGTTAGTATGGCAACCATCACAAGTACGTACATAGGTCTATATTTGAACGAGAATGTCATGTCGTCCAATAAAATCTGGAAGAAGGCGCGACTCGCACAGACATCTGACTCATCTCTATCCACACATTATGTGTGAAAAAAATCACCTCATGCACATCCATCGCACAGAAATCACAATGCCTCGCATCACCCCGATGATGTCAGCACAACCCAGTCTCTAACCCTGTAACCCCATCCATCCATCCATCCATCCAACACGCTAGCATATATGTTCAGTTTAATGATAAAAAAAATTGATCTGCACAACTTATAGCTAGAGTTAGCCGACCGTCGTCCTCTGACGACACGTCCAAGTCAATTTAATTATATAAAAAAAAAATTCATGTGTTTTCTCGTGCATGCATGCAGCAGACGCCCAGGGACTGGGCGTAACCCTAGCCCGGGAGATGCAATCCCCGCCGTCCCCCAAATCCATCATGTGGCTCCTCCGCCAGAAGTCCATGAAGCGTGCCAAAGTCTACGACGCCTTCTACGACCGGGACCTCCTCACCGCCCTCCAGGACACCGGCGTCGACGTCCTCGTCGGCATGAGCAACGCCGACGTCGGCCGCGTCGCCGCCGACGATTCGTCCAACGAGGCCGCCAAGTGGTTGGAGTCCAACATCAAGCCGTTCTACGGCCGGGTGAGCTTCCGGTGCCTCCAGCTCGGGTCGAAGATGGCGCTGCAGGGGAACCACGAGATCTCGACGCTGCTCCAGGCCATGGTTCACGTCCAGGCCGCGCAGAAGAGGCTCGGCCTCGATATCTCGCTGGGGATTGATTTGGATAATGCGGCGCTGGCGGAGTCTTTCCCGCCGTCGGCGGCGGCGTTCGACGGGGCTATATTGCCGGTGCTGAGGCCGTTGTTGACGTTCATGGAGCATAATATGGGGACACTTGTTGTTTCCATATTCCCCATGATCAGGTACGTACTTGGTCGGGGGTGACGGTGGATATCTCTTTTAACGATTCGAGTTACGCGCGAGGTCATCAGTTGGTTTATGACGTGATAATAACATTGGTTTTATATAGTGAGATATGTCACGTGTTGGAGGTCATCATGACCTCAATCTGAACCGTTGGATTTGAAAGCACATTGATCACGTGTGGTGGATCTGTACAGATTTCAAGCATATGATCAGTTTGACTTTCGTTTGAGGAGCAGGTGTGTAATAAGGAGAGTGCTGGTTTAGGCGGCTGAGATATCGCGGTTTTTGCTTTTTTCGTGTTAATCCGAGACCGAACCATTAAGGACACATAATGGTTTCGGATTTTTGGTCCCAGATTGTACGGTTTCACTTTTGGTTTGAACCGAAAAAAACAATAAGAAACCGAAACACACTCTTTTGGTAGGAGTAATGTAGAGCTTGTAAGGTTTAACAACTTGGTGCACTCTTACTCAGGTTTGGTTTTTTCTTCATACCAAAAATCGATTCGTTAAGAGGCTTATCGGAATTTCATAAATCGAAAAACTGATTATCTCCTTTAACGTTTCGGTTTCGTTTTGGGAGAATTATCTGCTTCTATTTTTGTTTCAGTCTTAACGATTCGGTTAATCAGACTGAACCGAATATACATATTTAAAGTGGTTCCCAACCTCTATATATATAAATCTCTTTCAACAACTCGAGTTTCGTTCCTAAATTTGGAATTTCTTCCCCTTCCGATACATTCAAACTTTTTAATTTTGTTTTTTTGCTTTTTGAAGGTACGTGACAGACCCATACTACGAGTACAAGGGCATGAACATCGACTACGCGCTCCTCAACGGCGACTCGCCGGCGGTGACGGACAACGGCCTCCAGTACACCAACATGATGGACGGCCTGTTGGACGCCTTCTACACGTCCCTCAGCAAGCTCGGGATCACGATGCGGGTGATCGTCGGCGAGACCGGTTGGGCGTCGGGCTCCACCGTCAAATACGCCACCCCGAAGCTGGCCGGCGAGTACATCTACAACCTGGCGGAGCGGCTGAGGAACAACGTCGGGACGCCGCTGAAGCCCAACTGGCCGGTGGAGACTTTCATCCACACGCTCTACGTCCAGGACAAGAACAACAACGGGATGTACAAGTGGTACGGAATGTTTTATCCCAATGGGTCGCCGGCGAATCCTTTCCTCAACCTTTGATAACAAAGAGGAAAGAGAGAGAGAGGGCTTAAATTAGGGTATTGTATTTTTTTTTTTTAATCAGGCGAATTCGAGCTGGATTGAATAGGGTTATGGTTTTGTTAATCACTCTGCACTCACTTTAACTTTTAAAGTGGGAAAACACATACTTTTTTCGGACTAATACTATCAATTATTGTGTGTTGCATGCCTAATATCCATTACATTTATTCTGATTTGCTACATTTTCCCCAATTTGCATTGAATTCAATGTAATTTTTTTATGGGAATTCAATGTAAATTTAGGTAACCGGCTTAATTGACTAATTAGGGAATTGTTTTTTTTACGGATTACCCCGCAATTCATCGACACCCATCCAACATTCATCCGACCTAGTTTGAAGAAAAATGGATAATGAGTAATAATAATAATACCACCCTTTGGTCAATTTCTTTCTTTTACAGAAATCTCATACATTATCCAAATACTAAACATATAATATTTTTGACCAAGTTTAAATAGAGATATTAGATAAACACGCATGCTTGAATAATTGTTTCCATTTTTTTTAGGGGGTAAAATTGTTAGTACATGTAGACTCAAGTCTTTTGGCAAGCAATTAGGAATCTCCCAATTAATAAACTTTAGTGAAAACAAACTTAACTACCAAACTCTCTCTATTTTTAGGTTTACAAAGATAAACTGATCCACTTGGCCCTTATTCTGTAACCAATGGAGATAAGAGCAATATCATATATTTCCCCGTTATAAAAAAAAAAAAAAATTCCTCCACTAAACTAAAATGAAGCCATCATAATCTTCAGCTTCGTGAGAATATGATAAACACTTCCTCAAACTCGTTTGATTATTAATACGAATTAGGACAAGTCTTACTATGTCCATCTTTCTACAACAAGTATGGTTTTCTTAGTACATCAGTTGGTTCTCTTTGTCACACGCTACCTTCTGTTCTCCCAACCCCAACATTTAGTAGGTAAGTCATGGGTGCAAGTACGTGTTTACATAGTAATCTTATCGCGTGCTTACATAGTGAACAAAACTCGAGATTTGACTGTTTGCACCATGGTATGTATGTAGGGGCTCAGGGCATCGGAGTGACCCTAGCAAGGCAGGGAAGTTGGGGATTAAGTGGATGGTGGTGATGGTTCGGGATTAAGTTGGGGACTAACGTCGAGTATCGCGACTTCCCGTTGTCGTACGCGCTCTGCCGCAGCGGGTCGGAGGACTGGTCGTTCGACGACGACTGCGGGCGGAGATACAACAACATGATGGACGGGCAGGTGGATGCCTTCTACTCAGCCACTGGAGAAGTTGGGGATTAAGTGGATGGTGGTGATGGTTGGCGAGACCGGGTGGCCGTTTAAGGAAGGGATATCGCTGGCGAAATCCGAATACGCCGCAGATTACGTCAACCACATGGTGGCGAGGCTGAACCGGAACGCGTGGACGCCTATGAGGAGCTGGCCGGTGGAGACGTATTTGCATACGATGTATGTGCAGGATAAGTTGCACGAGGAGAAAGAGTGGTACGGGTTGTATTATCCTAATGAGACCTTGACTTATTCTCATACAATTTAGATTGTGTTTTCTCGGCGAGAAAAACTAGATGGAACAGAATTGAATTTGCACCTTGACTTCTTACCAAAACGATTAAACAACACAGTCCACACCTGTTTGAACAAAGTTCAAATAAGGTTGTTCGATGTTCTTGATGATCTACCAAACAAATCTAAATTACATTAACCCTACTCCTATGGAGGTTCAGTGGAGCTCCGAAACTACAACTATGGGTATGACTACATTTGTAGAGAAAAAGGTAAAGTTAAAGATAAAGTTTGACAATAAGGTTGTCTGGTGTCATTTTGGCGAACCTCTTCTCCGTCGTCTTCACCTCCTATTTATAACCACCTGAAGTAACTATCTCGAGAAACCGCTCTTCTGACGTGGAATGGCGGTTACCCTCTCAACTGCTCTGATTATGCCCTGCCATTGGTAGTAATCCCCTCTTCAGTCTTAGCCCCCTTGTCTTGATAGCTATGCTTGCCAATTGAGGAAAATGAAGAAGCGTGAAGACCCCCTTGCCACATGTGGGTGGGTGTTTGGATTACATAGGGTAAAATGGCAAAATTAACTCACCACTATAGTCCACATGAGCGACATACTTGGCCATATTTCATCCACTAGAGGGTATACTAGCTATGTCGCTCACGTCGCCACCATTTTCAGATCCTCTGGCCAAAACATGTGAGGTTTATGTTGATGTCATTCCCTGATCATCTCATGGGGGCGTATGGCGATCACCCTTTTGACCATACCATGGGGTGATCACCTCATGGGGGTGGCACGCTGATGACCCCTCCTGACTACCACATGAGGGGCATACGTTGATGACCACCCCTTGATCATATCATGTGGGGTGCTCCTTATCATCCTCATCATCTTCCATACTTAGCCAAATTTTCAACCCACCAAATCATGGGGGTGGCAGTATGGTGACCGCCCCCCTCTGCACATCATGGGGTGACGGTATGTCAACCACCCTCTCACCACGTCATGGGGGTGGCAGTATGTCGACCACCCCCCTTACCACGTCATGGGGGTGGCTCCAACACTTAGCCAAATTTTGGAATAAATGACAAGGGTGGCGCACATGATGGCATTGGCATGGGTGCCATGAGCCCAAAAATCCAAACGACGTGACTCATTTTAATTGATTTTAATTGTTATAATTAAGTTGGCCTTATAAAACCATTTAATCCCTTGTATTTAACTGAAGTGGTATGAATTGATTTTTCAGTGGTAAACAAATTGTTTAGATGGAATGTGGTTAGTTATAAGAAGGTTATGTGAATAAGAAGGGAGCTAGCTAGGATGTTCTTTGGACAAGGATAACTAGAGGATGAAAATGTTGATTACTTGATTAGTCTCGTTCGACTCGATATATATATTAGTATGATGTTGGGGTTGATATTCAGAGACGATAATATTATAGTGTAACTTTTGATGACATGAAATTGAGTTCGACATGTCGAATATATAGTAGATTTTTGTCTATTTTTCCGTTTCGAAATTCATGCAATTTGTATGTTATATATATATCTCGACTTGAGTTGGTTAGTTATAAGAAGGTGTAATGTGAATAAGAAGTGATTTGTTTGGATAGGGATAGTTGGGGGACGAAAGGTTATAACACTGTTAAGATGAAGCGATTTTTTGTTTGCTAAAAAATTTCAAAATAGATGTCTTCTATTAGAACACAAAGCATATAATTTTAATACGCAATTTGAGTTAAAAAATGAGATATGATTCGTAAAAAAATTATGAAAAGTCATAATATCACCTAAAAACCCACATAAACACACCCCCAATCCTCTAAAAACAAAATCCACAAAATCCTACTACATTAATGAATGAAATTGAGTTATGAAGCATAGTTAGTAAAATACGATATGTGTAAGTTAAGTATAAAATATGTATTGGTATTTTGCTTCATTTCTAAATTAATGTTAAGTCTAATGGTACTTTAATACTAATAAAATATATGAAAATAATTATTTTAGAAATAAATATATAAATAATATTTCAATTATCAATTCAATTCATCAAATACAAATAGTAAATATGTTATACGAGTTTAATACATGTTTAATACGGGAGGTATCAAATAATGAACGTATTGGTAATAAAATTATACGAAAACAGAAATTTAAACACATAAAATGTCTATGTTTATGTTGTCCATTTGTTCGGCAGACTCGATTCCTTGCAAAACGGGCCCATTATAGAACCGGCCTTCCTCAGAACTGCAAAGCAGGCCCATAATAGCCCAGCCCAATCCCTGATGCCAATTATGCTAAATGAGCCCTCAAATTTAACATAATTCTCTATAGGACCCCACTGTATTAAAATACAGCACATTACCATCCTTTTTGACCTTTTCCTTCTTCGTTTTGCCCGAACCAATCTTTCCCCAGAGGCGGGCCTTTTCCAATTTCCAGTGGGAAATTTTTTCCCTCTCTGTTAGGGTTTCGGAGAGTGTGCTTTCTTCCCCATATCCTCCCTCTCCGCAATCCCGCCCAATGCTAACGGAAGGGACGACCCACAAGATACAACATCTCAAAGCTTGAAACTTTGAGCCAAGAAAAGGAAGAGGAGCCTTGTAATGGCGTTCTCGTTCTCGACTCCGCAGCAGCAGCAGCAGACCCCATCATTTTTCCAGTCTCAGCCGCAGCAGCAACAACAGCAACAGCCTTTCTCCAGCAGTTTCTTTCCGCAGCAGCAACAACAACAGCAACAACAACAACAATCTCAGCTGTTTCAGCCGCAGCAGCAACAGCTGCAACAGCAAACTCAGCAGCAACAATTGTTTCTTTTTACTAATGATAAAGCTCCTGCTACTTACAGCACTAAGTGGGCAGATCTTCATCCGGATTCCCAGAAGCTTCTGCTCCAAATCGAGTATGTTTACTTGTTCTCTTTTGGGATTTCAGTTCCTTGAAGTTTGCCGCTGGTAGTTCTTTGTTAAATGTTCGATTGTTCTTCAGTTTTTCTTGAACTGGCGAATTTCTTTGAAGGGTAATCGTCCATCTAATTAGCTTTCTGGCTGTTCTTCTTTTGGCTTTTGAAGGAAGCTGCTAAGCCAACGGAATGTAGTACCAAGATCGTTTGTTTTATATTAATTGTTCATTAGAACTTAGAAGGAACTTATAGGTGTATTTAATCTGATGAAGCTTTGTCTTTCAACTTCTCCATGGTCTGAATAGACCAGACTTGAGCAATTAGAATTTGGTCAAGTTACTTCTTGGTTTTCGATTCAGTTTTCTGTTGCTCAATTTTGGGACTAATTTGGTGCTGTTGATGGGTAATGGTTCTGAGCTGTAGGGAGCGGATATTGGAGCACAGGGATGAGAGTAACAGGCTAGATCAGTGTAGCCGTCTTTACGATTCATCAGTCTTGAATGAAGGGTTCGAGCTTGATGCCAGCCATATTGTTCAGGTATTTTGCCTTTACCTTCTGGTCTGTGACATATAGCTGCTGATTGCTGTTTCTTCTGCTATATTAATACCTGTTCTATACCTTATGGGCTTTGTACTTCAGTAATGAGAAAGAGCCAAAAAGGGAGGAAAGGAATGGGACTTTTTTGTAATTAGTTTTTTACCTGAGCTTGCTGCAATGATACTTTCTTCAAACGAGGTGAACTTGCTGTCACATTAACCATACAACCAGGTTGTTTGGTTGGGTTGCTTGTGGGAGAATTATTTTGTAATTGCATGCAGTAAAATAAATATATTGGTTTCGTTGATCCTTTCGT